GCGAAGCACGAGCTTGCTAACCAATTCCGCAGTCTGAATGAAGTATTCAACGAATCCTGATCAAAAAATCGAAGTGCGCTCAAACCCGTCTCCCTGCATCTAGGCGTTCAACAGCCCGAGCGCATAGGCCTCCCTATCGAGTAGCGAGTGACATCCACGGATTGCGACCTTTGCGCACATGCATTGCATTCGTGATTCTTGCGTTGACTCGATGAATGATCGTGAGGAGATTGGGCACGCGCTCGTCTAGCTCGCAACGTGCCAGCCAAGAGCTGAGCAACAGCGTATCGAAGCCGCCAGATTTTACTTTTGCGCAGACTTTGCTTTTTGGTCAAAGATGGCCGAGATGGAAGACCAGACGACCTGTTGAGATTGAGCTGCATCCACAGCGGCTAAAGGAGACACGAGGACATGTCGCGTAGTTGCCGCGTCAGCTGCGAGCCATTTCAGTCTTGTCGATTCGAAGCGCATACACTCACACCAAATGCCTTGCTTTCTGTAGTAGTCGGTCACAGCTGCGGTCTGAGCGTGGTAGGTGCCCAATCTCTTCTTGAGCGTCTCGGCATTGTCGTCGGACCTCTGAATAAGAGGTTCTCCAGTAACATCATCCGTCATGGGCTTCTTGGGAGGGTGAAACTCCTTGTGGTAACTCCTGCCGCTTGGCGGGTGAACGAGTCTTCCTGTGATGCGAGAGATCAGTAGTTGGTCGTTGATCTTCAGCTCGACGGCATGATCCAACTTTTGCTGTTTTGACTTGAGCATGTCGTCTAGCTTCTCCGCTTGAGGTGTTGTGCGTGGGAAGCCATCCAGGATGAACCTATGCCAGTACCATGAGCGAAACGAGCTTAGCGGATGCACTTCTGAGCCTTATGAGGGCTCACACTCTGCAGCGATCAGCCTTGCGCTCCCGCCTGTGCCTACGCATCCCGCCCAAAGCTGCGCTCCCAAACTGTACACTTTGCCTCGACCCAGCTTTCTGCTCCAACTCACCCATTCGCACATTGTTGGTTTTGCTCCAGCTGGTTCTCAATCATGCCCACCATGATCTCATCAGGGACCAGTCCTCCTTGATTCATGATCTCTTTTGCCTTCTTGCCAAGATCAGTACCCTGTGCCACTTGCTCGCGAAGCATGTCGCCCGTAGCCAAGTGACAGATGGACCCGCTGAACCTTTGCAGGATCTTGGGAGCTTGCGTTCCTTTGCCTGCACCAGGAGGACCGATGAGGATCATGCGAACGCCCTCGTTGGATGAGGTGAGACTTCCAAGCACCGAGCCGGCCGTGGATTCGATCGACTTGATCTTGTCATTCAATTGCGAGACGAGAGACTTGAGATATGCCAACTCCGCGCTGCTGTTACCGCTCTGGTCTGACTTTTTGCCGCCAAAGACCGCTGCGCGTGGCAAAAGCATGTGAATGAAGACGTGTGGCTCAGCTGATGCTTTTTTGCAAAACTCTGCGTGATCCTAACTCACCTGGGTCCGGCGCAGCGGGCGTGTTAGCAGTGGTGGAAGTGGCCATAATGAGCCAAGATCACGAGGGTGGGCGAGCTGCGGTGAGGATGGGAAAGGGTCAAAGAGACAAGTCGTAGGCAGCGAAGAGGGGGGGAGGGGGGGGTGTCAGGGGAGGAAAGCGAAGGCGTACGTGCTAGCTGTCACGACCGAGACACGATTGTGAGAGTGAAGTTTGGTGTGTACAGTATCTATGGACGTACACGGCTGCGATCGAGGTTTGCGAACTCGCGTGCGGCCGTGCTGTCTGTTGGCTTGCGTGACGTGACAGCTGCATGCTCGATCAGGTTCGGCGCGCAAGAAGAACTGCGAGCGCGCGCGCACGACGGTTGCATGCTCGGCCAGGCTCCCTGCTGGGATGCGTCCATGCATGCGATGCACGGATGAGGCCGCGATGCTGCGTCTCGCGCCGGCCACCGGCGAGCAAATAAGCAAAGCAG